AGTCAAAAACTTTACTGTGCTATAAAAGGGGTCTCCGCACCAGGGGTGCCTTTCATTTATTGCTGTCTACATGCCCCTTAGCAATTTCCTAATTGTGTTGCTTTATTTTTCTATAACTTATTTTAGTACTTTTAAACCATGCTTTTAAATAATCAGTGCTGCTTTGGATGAATTAACGATATTGAAGCAATCAAGCATTAATAATTGTTTCAGAAATCTGATAAGTGGTATGCAATAATTAAAGAGTAGGGATCATAAAACAACATTACCTTAAGTAACAATATGTTCATAAGTCAGGGAAACATAGCCAAAAATGTATGGTTTTATCTTACTCCAAATCTTAAAGTTGATTAAGTCTAAACCTGCACGCATAGGCATATCTGTCACCTAGCATGGCAATGTGCGATATAGTGATGTACTAGAGAAGTAGCGGCTGTTCACATAGCAAAGTAAATGTTTACATTGCAAGGTACATATTGGCAAGGTGAACTTTGAATGCCCAAACTAAAAAAAAACAGGATTTTTTCTACTACATGTTTGGGTATTCATGTTGAATGCAGCTTCACCTATTTACTAACAACACTTTGCTATGCAAATAAAACCTCTACTCCTTTAGTAAATCAAACCCTACTGTCTGCGTAGGCGGGAGCATTGAGAATTATTGAGAAGATACTGGGCCTGATTTACTAAAGCAGCTGCACTGATCATCTGTGATGCAGATTTTATCCTTTCAGAATATATGATGCATGGGGACACCTGTGCACAGGTTTCACTGCACATTTGTGATGTGGTTTAGGTTTGCTGGTCTTTGTGTACATTAACATGGGAGAACTATAAAGCCTGTATGTTCTTTTGGGTAAGCCAGCCCCCTCAATATAAAAGGAAGGACACAAAACAATAATAATGTCAATGAATTGAAGCTATTGCAAGGAAATCATTGTGAAAGATGACAAAATGCATAGGGAGAGATTAGGGTAAGTTAGGAATGTGTACTTTCATTCTGGATGTTTGGGCAATCAACCCGTTTGCTGCCTTTTTGTTATTCTTATTATTGGGGGCTTTTTTTTTTTCATTTCATTTCGTTGTTTTTTTGTCATTGTTTTTTGTGGTTGTGTTTTAAGTCAGTGGTAACTTTTTAGTTCCAGTCCCAGCTAAAATTGTACTTTTATGTTGGTAAGGCCTTTTAAAGTTTAGGGTTCTTAAAGCGGATCATTTACTTGTTACTAACCATCTGTTCTTTAAGCTGCCCTTTATTTGCATCATTTGAAAGAGAAAAAGGTGCAAAAACACTGTGCATCTACACTTCATCACATTAAATTGCTCACATTCAATGCACCCCACATAGATAAAATAAAAGTTAGGCATATACCAGTTAGGCCCATAAAGCCCTGCTGCTGGCCAAATTTACACCACTGTATCCTTTGCAGTATCTTAACTCTTGTAGTAAACCTCAGCATGTGTTTTTTGACATCAGAAAATTTGGGTCTAGCCTTGCTATTTAAAATAAAAGTTAAGTATTCACCAATTTAGACCCATCATGTCCTGGTGCTGACTAATTTTAAACTGCTGTGTCATCTGCATTCCCTTAAGTCAAGTAGCAAAACACCTGCCTATATTCTTTTTTTTTTAGTATATTTCGGCCAATTCACGCTCTTTAAAAAGTCCTGCTGTTGGCCAATGTCACACTGCTGTATCCTGTGGTAATCATGTGGTCTCATGAGCAGGGGCGGACTGACAACTCATGGGGCCCCCGGGCAATAGGGGATCATAGGGCCCCATAGGCCCTGTGTCATATAGGGGATCATTGGGTCCTTGCCAAAACTCAAAAAAGCCTATGAAAAAGGTACCAGGGGCATCTCATGGGGCCCCCCACTGACCCCGGGCCCTCGGGCAGTGCCCGAGTTTCCAAATGGTCAGTCCGCCCCTGCTCATGAGTCCTAATGAGAGCTTGATAGAAAGTGGCCAGTGGCAGGACAATTTTGCATCAATGAGAACAAGGACAGCCAATGAAATGCTGTTCAATTTCTATCTGCCAGTCAAAGCTGGTGATTACATATGTAATCATATGTAATATGTGTCCCTCATAAAGCTACCTGAAAAAACTTTTTTCAAACTTAAATTATTCATATTGAGGTGCTGCTGCTGTATGTAAGTCAAGCTAATTGTAAAAGACAAAAATCATCCATTTTGCGGCCATATATGTGCAGCTGTCACTGAGAATGTCTGTAAAAGTCATACTGTTCCATAACACCACATACAGCTTCTATTTTGCATTGACACATGTCCACATGCACAGCTTCCAATGCCTTTTTTGGCTGTACTTTGCCTATTATCCCTAAAAATGTCCAGAATTTAGATTCACCCTCATTCATTTCAATGGGATTAGCCAGGATGACAGAAATGATTGTAAAAAGTAATGTAAAAGAAAAAAAATGTATAATGCATGTTGTGATTGTGCAAAAATGAACAGTGTGGCCTGTGTACAAGATTTTATATGCTGCCCACTCTGAATAGGTTTCTATGGATAACTATCCATACATACACAGCTTTTACTCTGATAGTGCAGCTTATGTTTTTTTTAATGCTGCTGCTTTGCTTTCCACTTTCATTGCATAGTAAGCTGGCCACATTCTTTTTAATAAGTATTATTATTAAATTGCAAATAAAATGTTGACTTACAGATTGTTTTTTAGATAAGCTCTAGAATCACATCTTCGGTGCACAAGTGTATTAGCAGACATGTGAATCTGCAGTGTAAGGATGTCCATACTGATCTATTCTTGCTCTTTATTTTCTTTAATAAATCAGGCCCTTTGCATATTACTAAAGGTACACGAGGCATGCTTGCATGCATTTCTTTTTATTAATAGGTATCAATATTATATTTTGATGAAATCTGCAATTTGTATAGTGTCATCTTATTCACAAGGTTAGTGAAGGTCATTAGTGAAGAACATTTAGTAAGGATAAATATGTTGTTAAATACAGAGGACAACAACAAAGACTATAGCAAAAAGAACAACAAGAAAGAGGATAACCAAAAACCAAGATGTACAACATCAAATTGCATTTCCTGAGTGAAAATTAGAGTTAGAAATGCATCTGTATGAATTGGAAAGGCCCCATGCATTTGAAATGTGTTCCTTATATATAAAATCTTCATAAACCTTTTTTAAATACTTATCTGTTAGCATGATTTCTATTTAAAAAATTTTTTCAAGAAATGTAATTAATAAAATTAACCTTTTTTTACATATTTATCTTTTAGCATGATTTCTTTCTCAAGACTTGTCATAAAATGTCAGGATAATTGCACAAATGACATTCAGTATGTGTGAATAAATGGGCATGGGAAAATTAATTACTCTTACTAATGGTATGTTTTAACTTTCAGCAAATAAAGTCCTAATGCAAATACAAGCATTGGAACCATTGGTCACCCATGCTTATATTTCCTGCCAGGTGAACATGTACAATACGTGGCTCCCTGCAACTATTTATAATAAGCATCTTGATCTACCATTTATATGCATCTTTGGTAGCAGGTCAACTCACAATGTTAAATTATGTTAAATTATTCAGAAGTATGTTTGGAAAAAACACTAATATTGAATCAACAAATTTGAGATCAACAGATTTCTATTGATATTGATTTAGATAATGGTCAGAAATATCAAAACTTGTATGAAACTTGTGTAAAATCATTATATTAATGCAAAACTACACAAAAAAGTTTAATTTATATTAAACACCACCATTCCAGCTGAAATTAAAAATATTTTAAATATATAAGGGGTAATTTACTGCAGGTAAATATTTTCTTGGCTCAACTCATTCAGCTTCACCTTATCCACTAAGATCAATGAATATTTTCTTTGCTAAGTGAACATTCTTTTTTACCTTAGTAAATCAACCTCATAGTTTTATTCAATTCAGAAAAAAAATATATATAGGTCCTATTGTACTGATGCTTGCTAAAATATTTGCATTAAATGTTTTGGAAGGAATAAAGTATTTTGCTATTAAAATGAATAACATTCAGAAAGTTGCTTGATCCATAAACAGTCATTAAAGTTGCAGCATGCAGTCCAGACAGACAATAGGTACTTCTTTATTGGAACTTCAGGTTAAGATCCTGGGGGAAGTTGAAAAGAAGCTTTTTTCACAATGCGACATTATACTGCTTGTCTCTTGTTTCTTTTAGTTACCTACATTCACATAGAGCTGTGAGGGGCATTAAAGCCTAGACATAAAAAGCCATCCAAATTTCATGATTTTATGGGGCTGTTGTGAAGCTTTCTTCCATGTAATGTAGATCTGGCAGTATACTGGCAATATGGGACAGGATATACACTAATTTCCTTTTTCTATGTTTCTCTGACTTTAAAGAAAACAAACGTAATATATTATTAAGTATATTCAGGATTGCTATTTGTTTCTACCAATATTGGACAACACAAACATTTAAATTGATCGCTTCTTGTACAATCCTCACAACGTGCTATAAATTACAGTGTTCCTCTGTGAAAATACAGTGCTTCATCTTCAGCCACTGTATTAGATAGCAAATCGGGAGATAATTCAGTCTGATTAAAAAATACATCCTCCTAACCCCTTTGTGCTATATAACTATTCTGTTTTTTTTTGTTTAAAGAATAAATAATTAAGAAACATAATTTTTAACAGCTACCAGTGTCTAAGAGGCAGGATCTTAATAAAATTCCATTGTCCACTCAGAACTATACAATTGTTTTTCAGTCGACTTTTCTTTTTTGGGCTAAAATGTGCAAAAAAATTTTTTGTGGAGCTAAATGATGGTACTGAGGAACTCTAATATTTTCAGCTCCCTTCACAGGCAGATGAAAAAATCTGTGTTGTTCTCCACATTATTATATTTACACTATACTGCCAAAAGTATTGGGATGCCTCTCCAAATCATTGGATTCAGGTGTTCTACTCACCTCCTTGGCCACAGGTTTATAAAATCAAGCATCTAAGCATGCAAACATTTGTGAAAGGATGGGTCGCTCTCAGTGAATTCAAGTGTGGTACCATGATAGGTTGCCGGATAACAGTATGTACTCTCCTGTGCTCCAGGAATCAAATGCTAAAGGAAAGCCAGGGAAATCAGGACCCTTCTCAGATAGGGAAATCAACAACTGGAAAAGAGCAAACAGGAGGTGCAAACCCCTAGTGCATTATCCAAGGTTTATTTATAAGTAAAAAGGATGAAAACATACTTACAAACATAGCATGTATGTTAAGCTTAATAAGAAAGTAGAGATGGCCATAACAATGGCGGGGTGTCCGACTGTCAGTATGGTCGGCTTGCTGATGCATTTTGGGGATGAAGCTCTGAGGAAAGGGACAGCTTCACATACATGCTATGTTTGTAAGTATTTTCTCATTCTTTTTACTTATAAATAAACCTCGGATAATGCACTAGGGTTTTGCACCTCCTGTTTGCTCTCTTTCATGATAGGTTGCCACCTGTGCAATAAGAGCATCTGTGAAATTTCCTTGCTACTAAATATTCCACAGTCAACTGGTAGTGGTATTATAGCACAGTGGAAGCAACTGGGAACATCAGTAACTTAGCCACGAAGTGGCAGACCACATAAAATGACAGAGTGGGGTCAGCGCATGCTGAAGCGCACAGTATGCAGAAGTCACCAAATGTCTGTAGAGTCAATAGCTAAACACCTCCAAACTTCGTATGGCCTTCAGATTAGCACAACAACAGTGTGTAAAGAACTTCATGGAATGGGTTTCCATGGCGAGCAGCTGCATTCAAGCCTTACATCACCAAGTGCAATGCAAACCGTCAGATGTAGTGGAGTAAAGTATGCCCCCACTGGACTCTAGAGCAGTGGAGAAGTGTTCTCTGGAGTGACCAATCACGCTTCTCTGTCTGGAAATCTGATGGACATCTCTGGGTTTGGCAGTTGCCAGAAGAACGGTACTTGCCTGACTGCATTATGCCAAGTGTAAGGTTTGGTGGAGGGGAGATTATGGTGTGGGGTTGTTTTTCAGAGGTTTGGCTTGGCCCTTTAGTTCCAGTGAAGGGAGATCTTAAGGCCTCAGCATACCAAGACATTTTGGACAATTTCATGTTACCAACTTTGTGGGAAGTTTGGGGATTGCCCCTTCCTGTTCCAACATGACTGTGCACTAGTGCACAAAGCAAGGTCCATAAAGACATGGATGAGCGAGTTTGGGGTGAAGGAACTTGACTGGCATGCACAGAGTCCTGACCTTAACCCGACAGAACACCTTTGGGATGAATTAGAAATTAGAGCGGAGATTTCAAGCCAGGCTTTCTCGTCCAACATTAGTGCATGCCCTCACAAATGCCCTTCTGGAAGAATGGTCAAACATTCCCATAGACACACTCCTAAACCTTGTGAACAGCCTTCCCATAAGAGGTGAAGCTGTTATAGCGCAAAGAGTGGGCCAACTCAATAATGAACCCTACAGACAAAGACTGGAATGTCATTAAAGTTCATGTGGAAGTATAGGCAGGTGTCCAAATACTTTTGGCAATATAGTGTATATTCCTAATTTATTTCTCTGTGCTCTTACTCAATAGTGGAGATAACAACTGTTGTTAGTATGTCTTCAGTTGTGTACCACTGGCCTAAGAGAAACAGCATGAACATATTTTCAAGCATGACGTGCACATCCACAATAAAGCAAATCATACTTAGAAAGTAAATTATAAACCATTTGAAAATGTCAAATGTAAATGGGAAAATATCATATTATAATAATATAATAACAATGATAATAATAACAATAATATTACTTCTTATGTGGTAAATGGTAAATCTGTAATATAAACCAGTGGTTCTGGATGTACAGTTGGCCCCCCAAGAGCAAAAAAAAGGAATAATTTGCATGGTCAACCTACTATCCTAAAACAAGGAATGTTTCCCTTATTTTCTGTATGTGTTTGCAGTGAATCTATCTATCCATCTACAGTATCTTTCTTTTTTCTTTCTTTCTTTCTTTCTTTCTTTCTTTCTTTCTTTCTTTCTTTCTTTCTTTCTTTCTTTCTTTTTCTTTCTTTCTTTCTGATACATTCCAGTGCATTTATTAAATGCACCCAGAACACATGCATAATAAATGCAAGGTTTTCCAATAACCCTAGTTCATACCAGTGTGATTAGTTCCAGGGCTTTCAAAAACATATGAAGCAGCATGCAGTTTTTCCCACGAAACGCATCTAAATGCATGTTAATGCATGTGAACGCACCAGAATGCACATAAATGCAAGTGAGGAAAAAAATTGATATTTCAAGTGTGAAAAGGAGGTAAACATACTGAAGGGCTTTTGTAAATGCATTACAAAAAATATTTAAAACGTGTAAGGGTCAATGCAGAAATGCACCTGGAATTCTGTAATTGTGGTGTGAACAAGCACTAAAATAAATTAGCTAATAGCTGCAAAACATAACAAGACATAAAACTTTGGAACTGAGCACTAAACAATCTAGCCAATAAAGAGATAACATATAAAAAAAACTCATCTGCTAGATTACAAAATACAAATACATTTCATGCAAGTCATGCATGCCTTCCTCCAGCTTAAAAAATAATAATCATGCCACTTTCCAGGTATTCCCTTGAAGATATACAGTTACACAGAAATGTACTATGTATCTTGCACATACTAGCACTAAATTCTTCATGTATTTTGATTGTATATGTTGCTGTTTCCCCAGAGTTTCACTTTAGAGCAGAACTCCAGGAATTGCAGCACTTTTAAAAATCAGCTGGCTGATAGGGAGTGAAGTCCAGTGAGGTGTATGCTACCTCATGTGCTTATCTCATCTATTACTATTTACTCTTTTAATAAGCACTGGGAGTACAGCTATCACTGGATGAACTGGATGGACTTGGGTCTTTTTTCAACCAGATTAACTATGTTACTATGCAGGGGCGGACTGACCATTTGGAAACTCAGGCACTGCCCGAGGGCCGGGGTCAGTAGGGGGCCCCATGAGATGCCTCTGGTACCTTTTTCATAGGCTTTTTTGAGTTTGGGCAAGGACACAGGGGCCCCATGATCCCTTATTGCCCGGGGGCCCCATGAGTTGTCAGTCTGCCCCTGTTACTATGTTAATATGTTACTATACTTCTGGTGTGCCGATACTAGACCTTCAGGTCTCTGATACAGCAACTGCAGAATAGTTTTTGCAGCCGCTCTGCCTGCCATTCATCTCTACTTGCTCAATCATGGTAGACTTTGTACTATGTGAACTGATTCACAAAATACAAAGTATTCTATGAATAGATGTTGGAGCGAAGGGGCAGGCAGAGCAGCTGCTGTGTAACAGAGTACACATCTCCAGTCAGAGTGTCAGGAGTATAACAATAGCTGTACTCCCAGAACTCAGTAAAAATATAAATATAAAATAAAAGAGCTAAGTCAGCCAGGTGACATACACTCCATTGGACTTAACCCTATATAAACCAAGATATTTTTTAAAGTGCTGCAATTAAAGTTCTGCTTTTACTTAACGACTAATAGGCAATTAACAATTAAATAGCTGGTTTTGTTTGACTGACATCTAAAATATGAGTACATCTTATGCTGGTCATACACGGCTTAAAATGTAGCAATTTCTGGTAAATCCGCTAAAATTTGAGCTGTGGATAGCCCTGTCAGCACCACCCAACTTAAAAAAATTTTGATCTGAAAACTGAAGGAGGAGGGAAGAAATTTTTCAGTCAGACAGCAACTGCAGCTAATCAGATGAAGTCACTCCTTGCTGCTGTCAGAGTACAATAACCAACAGCCAGCAAGTGTTTTAAAGTGTACGGATAGCTTTATTGCTCAAGACATGAGATACAATGGAACATTTTTTAATATAATAATCATTGTTCCAATAAATATGTTTCCACTGAAAAAAATAATTAGATTTATTATTAAACAGAGTAATTTCTATACAAACTTTTATCCTTTGTTTTTCCTATTAATACCCAACCAGACTCAGGAAGTACAAAATTAAAAATTTCCAATCTGACCAATACCTATAGTTGTAGGAGCTAAATTCCAGAGCCTTTAGCTATGCACTAAAAAAGAAAATTATTGATTTCATATGTATGTGTTTGCACTTTGTTTTCATTACAGACAAAGAATAATAGTCAGTAGGGATGAGCCTATGGTCAAGTCTGAACCTCGGCGGGAACTGAGCATCATATGTAGATGTAGTATTTCTACTGCTTTTATATATGACAGCTTCCCATTGTCAATGTTTCCTAAGGAAGCAGCAGGTGCTGGCACCTGCTGCATCCCTAGCAACTGCCACTTTAACCAGCATATTGATTACATGGCCAGCAATTCCTTGCAAGGTAAGCAAAGGGACTGGGATAGCAGTGACACCTTTGCTCAAATATGGTCACTGGCCATATTTGGTCAATATGTCACTTTTATCCCCTGCTCCTTCCGTTATATAGCTGATGACAGCTGTCATTCAGTGAGGCAGTACTGTTGGAATCAGTCGTGTGTGCCGGTCCTTTTTTGAGGGATTTTCAATTTTCTTTTTGAAGTGTTACTAAACCCACAACAGTAAAATCAGTCTGTATATGCAGTAAAGCATGCTTGTTATACTGACTGTGCAACCTAAGGGGTTAATCCTCTGCATTGTGTAAAAAGGCTGTTTGATCCTGTCTTCTCTACTCCTTCTCTTGTTCAAATGTCAACATCTTATCACCTGATAAGACAGACTGAACCCATTATCATTCTGCACATGCTCATTTTTCTTGGGAGAGTATATGTGATCAGCACAGGGCCAATCAGCACTGTCCAGACAGAGGTCAGGAGTTTTGCATCCTCTTAGAGCAGAAATAAAACTCCTCCTACAAGCTTTAACCAGTGCTCTGATGAACACTGATAGAAGTCACAAGACTATTCTATCTGCTGATGAGAAAAGGTATTTAGCAGTTAGTATTTACTAAAATAATTGCACTTCCGTGTTCTGTGTACAGTGGGAGACCAGATACAGTGAATGCAGGGTCATGGTTTTAGTAACACTTTAATAGAGAACTTGTCAAAAGTTTGGGTTTCTTCATTTCTAGATTATATTTTTTGTGAATGAATAGGGGTGTTATAAATCCCCTTACCTTTTCACATGGGGGGACATATTCAATAGATCCCCACAACCTTTACCAGGACTAGATGCTTTGCTAGAGGGCACCCCCAGATTGAAGCCATGTGGCTTGGGATGATTCAGGAGGGGGTGTCACCTGCTGCCCCCCCATTCCTAATCCCAAGCTAGCCAGGCTGCATGCTAGGATTAGGGTCTGGTATAGCTTTTTAGGGAAACCTTAGGCTTTTTTTTTGTTTTTCGTTTGATGATCCTGTTTAAAATCAATACCTAATGTCTGGTATGGATTTCGTGAGGGACTTTACACTTTTTTTTTGCTGCTCTACGTACTTGAGGTTCCCCAAGTAACAGGGTCTGATACGCATTTTGGAGAGCTAAATACAATTTTTTTTATACTTGCAGTAGGATGTGCTAGAGCAAAAGTGAAATTTACAAAGAAAAAAACATACACAGTTTAAAAGTTTTCTTTATACTTCCCATGTTTCCTTTATAATAGGTTTTCAAATAATGTAATTTAAAAAAGGTTTCTGTGAAAGGTTTAGTGTAGTATAACACTTTTGGCAGTGTTTTTTGTGTTTTGGAAAAAAAGGTGTGCACATAATTCCATTATCCAGCTTTACCTGAGGCCGGCCATAGATTATACAATTTTCTTAGATTTACCAAAAC